ATAATATACAGACCCTTTAAGAAGTGGATTTCGGCATCTTACAGCACAGCAGCAATGAGCAGGGGAACCAGACTGGCAGCCCTGCAGAGGTAAGGACCCTTGAAGCCTGCTTTATCCAGCAGGCACTGGATTCACCCAGGTTGTAACTCAGAGCAGACATATTTCATCCCATCATCAATGTTATGTTTGACTAACACTTTTCTCAAGCTTGGTACACCAGAATCTTATAGCCCTCCCCAATTCCATCTGAGTTCTATTACATGAGCTATTTGATATCCTCCCTTTAAAACTGCTGACATCCTTTCCTTGCCCTCGCTCCCTGTCCCTTCCCCAAGGATGTTGATCTTGCATTTTTCTCTGAACAAAGGCTTTCTGAAAGCAGGAGCCCCCCCCCGGCTGCCTCCTGCTACTGGCTCCCCCTGCAACCCTGCTCAACTGAATTGTGCTCTTCTCATTAGCATCAATGTGAAAGTTGCTCTCACCCTATAGACTCTGCTTATTATTGACTTTAACAGAAGGAATTGTATACCTAAATAACACCACGCGGGCTGAAATCAAGCTCTGTTGTTTCCTTCCTATTGCTAACATGTCCAGAGCAGATTTATTAAAACCAGGAGTCAACCCCTGGAGAAACTAGAGACATTGTATGTGAATACGCAACTTTGGTGTTTGTTCCTCCTGCCTCTTCCTCTGCTGAGCTGCCTTCTGATAAGCAGCTTGCCAGGGTAATTATCCACAGAGATTTTAAGCTGCATATTTTTCTCTCTCTGGGCTAATATAACCCAGATGTGGGAAAGGCATGGTTTTAATCAGTCCTTCCATACATCCCATGACACTTGGTCACATGTGCACATGTAGGTATTTGCATCACCCAGTAAAATAACTACATTGTACACAATTAACAAGCTGGCTGTCACATACCATTTAGTTTGCCCTTCTTTTGTAGGAGCTTAGTGCTGCCTTTGAAAAAATCAGTTCTGCAATGAAACAAGTAAATACTCCTAATGATTACAGAGTGCTCTTTCCATAGCTACAAAAGTTTTCCTAATAGATTGACTATGACCGTCAAGTAGTTTCACTGCAGGTAAAAAGGGAAGGTTAAAAGCTATATAAAAGTATACAGACAACATGTAAGAGCTTGGGAAACAGGTAAACCAGTGTTCTTCCAGCACTTGGGACAGTCATTTAAGGGAGACACACCATCAGAGCCCATATTAGAAGTGCTCTATAACCATCCAGGGTCCTTTTTTCCCGAAGCCAGTGATGAAGACAGATTCTAGGGAGAACAGAGCCCTGCATGAACTGCAGTGTCACTTACTAGCACCACACTGAACAGCACAGGAATCACAGCTGCTTCTCTTCCCTGGTAACACCCATGGCCAGATGATGTTTTGGCAGGTTTGCTCCCAGACGACTCCTCCTCCAGTACGAATACTCTCAATATCAAACTTAGATCCAGAAAGTTAAAGGAATCAGCTCAATACACATGGGTTCACGTGGATTCCTAGCCATTCCAGCACTTGCTGCATGGGAAACCCCTACACGTAACAGCCCCAGACAAGATTCTCCTCACCCACCATCCATCTCAGGCAACTGCTGCCAAGACCTTGACCTTACAGAGGTGAAAGTATCTCAACAAGCTAACCATTACCTCTTCAACTGCTCCCTTAGCTGAGGGATGAGACAGGTAACCAAGCCTCCTGGCTGACACAGTGCAGAAAGGAGCAAACCCACCACTAGCACCACTGCTCTCCTTCAGAGGAAGCCACATCACCCTCTCCTCCTCATTGGGGATGCAAAACAGCAGCAGTCAATGACATCAAAAACACCTGCTTCATCTTCTGGTCAGCAGCTTGTTGATCACATGAAGAATGGGCATGAGTTTCAGCCTAGCAAATAAAACTTTAAGGACTTGCAGATGATCAGAAACCGGTTCTCATCAGGAAATAAAGTAGATCTATTTCTTTCCTTTAACCCTAGCAAGGGGAAATAAAATATGAAGCAAGAGTATTTTACTTTAAGAGAGGGCTGAAGTAGATTCTGAATGGGAAGCAGGACCTTTACAAATAATTTGAGTAAAACATCACCTGTTAGCAGACACTGATGTGCCTTGAGTGCAGGACTGGGGTGACAGCGAGGGGAGGCACAAAGCAAAGCTCAGCACAACTTGGGGAAGATAAAAAGGGTAAAATTTACATCATAGAGTCCAATTCTAAATTAGGTCTTGGGTCGAGAATTGTCTCAACCTAAAACCTAATTAAGCAAGATGTAAAATAACAACCTGCTTTCTTCAGAAGGATCAGAAAATGGGGACAGGAGGACAGCAGTAAACAAGATTAATCAGAAGTTTGGTTTCCTTGGCTTTTTGTAAAACAGATTTTCCTTCTCTCATTAAATGTCTGCTATTCACTGATTTCTCAGAAAGAGATAAACTAAGACCAAAGCTTAATAATTAAATATCCTTGACTATTGACTTCATGGGACTTGCTGCTTCAGGGATGATGCTGACCTTGCCATGCCTACTGTGACCATCACAGGCCTGCTTGCTGCTAGTGTGGCTGGAAAACAAAGGAACCAGGAAAGAGAGCAGATGAAAACAGAATCACCAAGCCACAAAGCTCGAGATGCATCACAGTGATGTTTTCAAATGCCAATAGCTTTGTTGTTGTTTAAATAATTTTCATTCTTCTAATTCAGCTTCTGCTTTGAAGTCCTTCCGCTGCTTCCAAGCCAGCCTGTTGCAGTACCCTGAGCAAACACTGAACTAGCCAGAGGATTAATATTCCACTGCTAGCCTTTAGAGCCATCTTTCCCCTAAGTTACCCCCCCATTTTTAATTACCAAAAATAAAATAAAATTAAAAAATCAGTATTGCAGGAAACAGTTCTATCCTTCAACTTGTTTGGTTGCCAGCCCAATGGAAAACTTACCCTGAAACTTGCGGTTATTAACTGAAATATTAAACCAGCATGATTACAAATATTCCCAAATATTTCTGTGTTTACTTATTATCATCATTATTTTCAAAATACCTAACAATTCAATACTGTTTTCTTAATGAAAGGCACCTGAGACAATACTGACAGGTAGAACCCAACAGCCATTTACATCTTAGTGGGTTCCCCTCTGTAGACTGCAGCAAAGAGGGCTGCCCTTTTACTTCACAGTATCACAGTATCACAGTATGTTAGAGATTGGAAGGGACCTCAAAAGATCATCTCGTCCAATCCCCCTGCCGGAGCAGGAACACCTAGAGAAGGTTACACAGGAACGTGTCCAGGTGGGTTTTGAATGTCTCCAGAGAAGGAGACTCCACAACCTCCCTGGGCAGCCTGTTCCAGTGTTCTGTCATCCTCACTGAGAAGAAGTTTCTTCTCAAGTTTAAGTGGAACCTCTTGTGTTCCAGTTTGCACCCATTGCCCCTTGTCCTATCATTGTTTGCCACTGAGAAGAGCCTGGCTCCATCCTCGTGACACTCCCCCTTTATATATTTATATGCACTAATAAGGTCACCCCTCAATCTCCTCTTCTCCAAACTATAGAGACTCAGCTCCCTCAGTCTTTCCTCATAAGGGAGATGCTCCACTCCCTTAATCATCTTAGTTGCCCTGCGCTGGACTCTCTCCAGCAGGTCCCTGTCCTTCTTAAACTGAGGGGCCCAGAACTGGACACAATATTCCAGATGAGGTCTCACCAGGGCTGAGCAGAGGGGAAGGAGGACCTCTCTTGACCTACTAACCACCCCCCTTCTAATACACCCCAGGATGCCATTGGCCTTCTTGGCCACAAGGGCACAGTGTCGGCTCATGGTCACCCTGTCGTCCACCAGGACCCCCAGGTCCCTCTCCCCTACACTGCTCTCTAACAGGTCGTTCCCCAACCTATACTGGAACCTGGGGTTGTTCCTGCCCAGATGCAGGACTCTACACTTTCCCTTGTTATATTTCATCAAGTTATTCCCTGCCCAACTCTCCAGCCTGTCCAGGTCTCGCTGGATGGCAGCACAGCCTTCTGGCATGTCAGCCACTCCTCCCAGCTTAGTGTCATCAGCAAACTTGCTGATAGTACACTCAATTCCCTCATCTAAATCATTGATGAATATATTAAATAATACTGGTCCCAGTACCGACCCTTGAGGCACTCCACTAGATACAGGCCTCCAACTAGACTCCGCCCCATAGACTACAACTCTCTGGCTTCTCTCCTTCAGCCAGTTCACAGTCCACCTCACTACCCAATCATCCAGACCACACTTCCTCAATTTAGCTGCGAGATTACCCGATTTTAATTTCTTTTAAACAGGTGAAAATAGGAAAACAGAAGATTATTTCCAATATGTTGACTCTGCAAAAAAAATCTATATAAGCACAAGAATTAAAGTTTTTTTGCGCTTTTTTATATTGTCAACTGTAATATAAAAATATGACGTTGGTTCAAAAGTCAGAGAAGGTCCGTGTTGGTAACTACAATTCTTTTATTGGACATATTTTACTGAGCATTGAACACTTGTTTATGTAGGCACAGATTTAAGAATAAACCACAAAATCGAAAGGATAAAGTGCAGACCTGTACTGATAAGCAGGCCTGGTAAAGTCAGTCTACTCTTTCAATTCAGCAGAGAAAAGAAAGAAAAGGGGGAAAAAACTGCCATTATAAGAGAAGTATATTATAAATTACATTCTGTGGTAGCAGAACTATACAACCTTTCCTGTGAGGTCCACAGCACTGGAAAACTCAAGTCCCCTGTGTATAAGCACGCTGAGTTTGTCGCAGGAAATATCTTAAGACTCTGACTTACAGAAGTGGTTCCTTTATATGAAAACCTAAAGGGATATTGATTAAAACAGTTCTCTTAACATCATTTCTCTATATAGAATCATAGAATAGTTAGGGTTGGAAAGGACCTTAAGATCATCAAGTTCCAATCCCCCTGCCATGGACAGGGACGCCTCGCTCTAAACCATGTCACCCAAGGCCTCGTCCAACCTGGACTTGAACACTATATATTTCAGAATAGAAAATTATGCACTCAAACAACCTCCCCCCCAACAAAATGTTTCAGCAAATAGTGATTGAGTGAAAGCGGAAGTCAGTGAAAGCCATGACTTTAAGCAATGGTCTTGGCTAGATTTCATTCATGCTTACATCTGAATTTTCTCATTAAGAAGATTCAGAAATAGAATGGTAAATTGTACATATCCTTGTCTTTCCCAGTCTCATAAGGGCAGTTTTCTACAGGTCGTAGTAACAGCGAAAAAAATATATATTTCCAGAGCTTGCACAAATTAAAAAAAAAAAAAATATGCAGAAAACAAGAGGGAGAATAAAAACTAACATAACCTAAAACATTATTTTGTAGTAAACAATAGAATATAACGTGCAATAGTGCAATTTCTCCTTTGCTGCTCCAACAATGAAGTCTTGGTAGATAGTCCACTGCAAGTCAAGGTACGGCATTCCACATCTAACTACGTGCTTGTCGGGCACTGCTGGGTTTGCCAGGCTTTGGAGCCGAGTCGCTGTGTCCAGGCTCTCGCTTCCCCTTCCCGAGGTGGCGGAGTTTCTGATCCCAGCGCTGCATATTGAAAGGCAAAGAAATTACTAAAGAGATTGCAAAAGAAGAACTAAGTAAGTAAGTTGTCTGTAAATCAACTGCATGTCTTTACAAACAGCAGCAACAAAACATGAACCTTCGCTGTTTCCACTGTGCTAGCCTGGAGGAATGCGAGGTCACTGGTAAATAGAAAAAACAACTCCTGGCTTTCTCGTAGCCTCTGTGAATGAAAGGTTCTGGTGTCCCCAACATAAGAAGAACATGGAGCTGTTGAAGCAAGTCAAGAGAAGGCCACAAGGATGATCACTGAAGCAGCTCCCGTAGAAGACAGGCTGAGAAAGTTGGGGCTGTTCAGTCTGGAGAAGAGAAGGCTGCATGAAGACCTCATAGCAGCCTTCCAGTATCTGAAGGGGGCTACAAAGATACCGGAGGGGGACTCTTCATCAGGAACTGTAGCAATCAGACAAGGGGTGGTAGGTTCAAACTTAAGCAGGGGAGACTTACTTAGGTTAGATATAAGGAAAGAAGCTCTTCCCTGTGAGGGTGCTGAGCTGCTGGCACAGGGTGCCCATAGAAGCTGTGGCTGCCCCATCCCTGGCAGTTCTCAAGGCCAGGTTGGACACAAGCTTGGAGCAACCTGCTCTAGTGGAAGGTGTCCCTGCTTGTAGCAGGGGGTTGGAGCTGAATGATCTTAAGGTCCCTTCCAACCCAAATGATTCTATGATTTTCCAAGTGAGAAAATAACTGAATTCCAGAAAAAAGAAAAAAAAAAGCAACCAACAAATGACACTGCCACTTGAGAACTAAAACTAAACAGAAGTCAGCCCATAGTGGTAATGTGGTACTCTGCAGCCCTGGATTTTGTGAGGTTCTGCCAAATCAAACAACAATTTTAATAAGATCTTTGTATCTTTTCACTCATGTCATCTCTGTGGATGTGACAAATGCACACACAGAGAAAATCCTGCATTTGTAATCAGAACAGTATTTTCCTGCCAGTCACCATTAGCGCTCTTGAAGAAAGTGTTGAGTGGAACAGGAGACTGGTTTGCACTGGCACAACCATTAGGTCAAATCAACAGCAGAGCAGTTAGGTCAAAGTAAGACTATTCTGTGTAAAGTGACAATCCTAACAACACTGAAGTCACGGGACACTTTTTCTGTGCATCAAAACATAAAAAGGAAATCCTTCCAGATCTTGCAAGGCATTAGAATACATTTAAATTAGAAAACATTAAAATACATTTTAATATATTGCTTGCATTTGAGCTCATTGCTTCCAATTCACCATGACATGACTTCTTTATCATGAACCTCATTCATCTAAGCCAGGAAAGTAAATTTAAAATAGTTGCTAATCCACACAATTTGGTAAATGTACTGTATTTAAATAATATTAAATCTAAAAAGTGTAATTTTATCTTGTTCTGGGAAACACTTGTAAAGCCCTTTTTTAATTAATCAGTATCACAATCCCAATGAAATAGGTCTGTGTTGCAGAATTCACAGCTTGCCTACAGAGATAAAACACTCCCACTGTTTGTTTTTTGAGACAGGTGTTGATTGCTGAGGCACTAGTGTATTTTGGATATTTCAGTGTATCTCTTCAGTTCATTCAGCATGCATTTCTATGTAATATACCAAATAACACACCAAGTTAACTTTTAATGTGTACTTTGTTCCCTCATTTTGAAAATATTAGGTAGATAGTTCACGGTATCTGCAACAATTGACTTTTGGTGAGGTATTTTCTTACCTTTACTTTTTTACCAAGACGATCCTTCCATTTCTCAGCTATGGAGCCTTCCACCAAGAGTAACCTACACAACAGAGACAACCAGTTACTCTATCAACAGGCACACACAAGCTGTACAACCCAATATATGCAAGACTAAGATCTGTGTATCTGCAGAGACCCCTGCGCCCCACTGAATACCAGTAAGGACATGTACGGAGTCTCACCAAGTTTCGCTTTCCTGGTGGCTCTGAAGTTCAGCTTTATCATCAAGGAAACAAACAACAAATATGCTCCAAGGACAATCAGAAGGTTACCTGGAGCGCTCCTCATCTTCATAGCCCATAATGATGTACTCTTCGTTGGCACTGAGTGGTGGGCACAGGCAGCCGGAGTTCGTGTGCAGGTTTACAGTGTCCTTTGGGATATTCACCAGGGAAGATTTTAGGATCTCCTTTACTTCCACTACTGCAGTGACATCATGACATTTAGTCTTCACCTCCTTCACTTTAGCCCGAATGACTGGGAAAAAGTCACAGAGTGTAGTTAGCAGCAGCAGATCATGCAGGTCACCCCTAAGCCATTCTTGGTGACCTCTAGGATTAGTCTTTTGCATGGTCCATTATCTGAAGCTCAGCTGAACTCCAGCAATATCCCTGCCCCCATCACTTTATTCCTTCATCCTCTACTAATAGGAGTCCAGGTAGCTTAGTATATCTCATAATACTACTGCCATGAGCAGGAGTTACGTAGCAGTTGAATTTATGTCCTGTTTAAGTTGGGCTTTAACTTTAGCATCCCTTCTTCTTTGCCATTTTCCCTTTAAATATATTTTATTCATTCCTTATACGATCTCCTCCTCCCTCAGGCTGTCACTGCTCCTTGACTGCTTGCAGTACAAGGGACCAAGCTTTATTTGTCACTCTCAGCCTTTCATGAAACATGAATGTGCATTAAAACTTCCCATATCTCATCCAACTACTGCTGGATGACAAGCTCTTACCTTTTTATTTCTCTCTCCAGTGACCCAGCACCAATCTGCTCTGCTCTTTATGAGCTCCAAATGCTCCTGATCTTGACCCGATGACCTGTCTAATTGTTTCCTCCCTCACCCTTTCTTTTTGCCTTAAGTTGCATAGGAAGAAAGTTGCCTTTCACAGGGAACACTTTTCATTCTCTCATGGTGACCAAGTGAACTGATACCACATACAAATGCAAAGCCAATCCAGAGGTCATGCTCTAGAGAATGCCACATCTTTCACAAATAGCAGATTCCCTGGATGCCAAATTTCTTCCAATCTATGTGAAAAACGTATTATGAGAGAAAACCATGGACTTACACATCTTCTCTCTTCACATGCATTGCCCGTGAAGACCATCAACCACATTAAATATAGCTGTCAACAATTAATAAGCTGTGCATTTAATATACGCAATTTATCCCAAGTGATTCACTTCCTGAAAGCCTTTTAAGATTTTGAAACAAAATCTTGCTGTGGTTTGGAGTTATTTCAAATGCAATTTGACTCCTCTTTAATTTCAAGAGCTTGACAAGATGGGCAGTAGCATTATCAGTGACTTTCTACCATGTGCAGGTACTAGTCACTTTGTAATAAAACAACATAAAACCTACTAGTCACCTAAAAAAAACAGCGATGTCTGAATAATATAATAAAATTTTTAGCTTTTAATAGGATCTATTTTTAAAAGTTTATCTGACCATAGTTGCATAAATGCATAATCTTAATAAATATTATATAATCTCTACCATTTAAATGAAGTCTTTAAGTTCACTGAGCTTAAGGCTATTCACATCATTAATGGGAAAAAGGACGGGCCTGATTGTTCAGTTCCTGTGACATGTATTCACTGGCTTCATTGACTTAATTGACTTAAAATAAACAGCATGAAGAAAAGTAGCAGCCTGGACCTTTCATATGCCTGAAGAGCAGGACAATCTGGACAACAAAAGATATAATATGCACTTTTATAGATATTACTGACAGCATAACAGATGCTTGCTGCTGGCTCTGATATGCGAGAAGGAAAGAACCTTGTATGCCTGTTAGATCCCATGGTGAGTTTGCAGGTATGAAAGTGAGTAAAAACATACTTTCCTGCAAAAGCAGAGCATATGGGAGCTGGGAAGAAGAGACAGTTCAGACACAGCAACCCACAACATCATTTTTGTCATATCCCCTTTCACACTAAAGAAGTGCATGAATCCCAGCTGCCTGTGCTGATGCTGAAATAACACTCAACGTCAACAAAGACACTCTTTCACTAACATTAAGCTATTCCCCTCCAACCTTCTTATTTGGACATGTTTCGGGCCACATCTTCCATCTGTAATATGTGCCATTGGATTTCCCATCAGTAATTGGGACCAGAGGCTTTTTTAATGAGAATCTTCCCCTTACTGTAGCCTTAAAAATGTTGGGAGCCGGCCATGCAGCTGTTCTTACCATAGTTATAGTTGTTGCGTAGGTAGGTCTTCTGGGTCGCTTTTATAGGCTTGCATTTGCAGCGCTCTGTAAAACCAGACAGTTTTGTTTAGCATGAAAAGAGCACATGTTCAACGACCATCTCTCCCAAGCTCACTCCTAACAAAACAATTTCTTTATTACAGGAAAGTGAAATATTAAAAACCACAGGGCATTCCTGAGCTGTTCTGTTGGAAGATATTGTGGAACTCATGATTGGAAGATGTTGAGGTCTCATGGACCTCAAAGGTTTCCAGGAGAAAACTTGACACGCTGAAATTTAAGAAACCAAACTAAACTACGTCAACCAACTAACCCTGCAACAACAAAGGCAAAAAGACTTGGGAGTATGAAGGGACAAAATCTTCCATTTTAGGGCAATTCAAGGTTTAGTCTTGGTCTCTTCTGTGCTTGCAGGAGCTGCAGCTCTACATCCTTCTCTCTTCAGTATTGCATTTACTGAACACCCTCCTTTCTGCATCTTTAACTGTACAGGCTGTAATACAGACACAGAAAGCAAATACTATGACAAAGCATGACTCGACATTTGATTGGAGACTACATAGCTCAGCTCAATTTAGCAAACTGGGATATTCTGGCCAGCAGGCCCTCACTGTAAGGAACAGGATTTTTGTGGCTAATTCTCGACATACAGTCCATCTTCGCTGTTGTACTGTAAGATTTCCTGCAGTGGCGCAGCCCTTTTATAAGTTGTCCAAGAGCTACAGTCAACAGATGAAGCATGTTGCAGCATAGCGGGACCAAGTGGCTCCCTGCTCAGAATGCTCCTGGGATGGTCCCAACTAAATGGAACCTCAACCATGTCCCTTCAACAGTGTCCCGCAGGAGGTTCAAGAGAGACTGAGTTTAAGAGGTTGAACAGCTTCACTTGACTACTTCAGGTGTTTGGTGTCACCTCTGATCCTGCTCTGGACTCTTCCTCAATATTTGTGTAAATTTTACACAGTTTTATTATCACCCAGAACCTCAGGTTGAATTAAAATAGAAGCATTATTAGGCCATCCCTATGGTGGTAAGGATGGCCTTCAAAAGATAATACAAATGAGCACTGTTGAAGCAGCATTTCCAGTGGTGCAGCTTCCAGACAGCTGGGAACAATAATGGAGGTAAAAATATTTCCATTAGTGCCCAGGGAGTGCTCATGCTGAAGCTCCAGACTCGTGCGTTCATTAACACCACCAATACTGCATGGCTATTGTTCTAAAGTAAATAATTACTTATTTCAACCTAGTGTCTAAGTGGAGTTTGGTGAAGCCATTTCAAATAGCAGGCCCCAGTATTACATGATCATCTATTTTGATATTTGACTTAACATTTTATTGGAAGTAGACTTAATGCAGCCTATTTCTATACACCATCATGCTAAAATACCAATGCATATAAGCTAGTGATTTAGTTAAATCTAACATGAAGAGTCTGAAAAATAACCTCTTTTTTTGCTATATAAGATTTTTGCATATTAAAAAAAATAAATGGATCTTGGTTATGGACTTCTCAAATCATTATTTACTACTGAAAGAATTTTTGTAGCTGAAAATACAAAAAGAAGAAAACAAAACAGGAAAAGAGAAGAACATTTCTGAAGAAGAGTATATTGTTTCCTTGAATTTCAAACACATCCTCAGGAACCTACATATAGAGTCCTACAGACTTCAGCTTTTGTATGAGTTTATTACAATAACAAAGGCAATGAAAGGAAGTGATTTTTGGCTTCCCTTCTGCCTGTGGGAGCTCATGCATACTTTAGGCCAAATTATACCCTGTTTTATGAGCTGCCTTGAAACAGACCATAAAAGATGTGCTCCTATGACCTACACTTCCACAGGCATCTCAGCATTCAAGTCCAGGAAGTCGTACACTTTAATGTTCTCCTGCTCTACAGTACTTTGCTCTATGGCACAAGTAGAATAAAATAGTCCCTATTACAAGACAAGAATACATATCCTGAAATTTCCCTTAATTTTAAGATTAGCCTCAAATTTCCCTTAATTTTAAGATGGCATTGGATTATTTTATTATTTTTTTAGTCTTGTTATAGAAACAAATTATAGACCTGCCGGTGTTTTTAAAGAAGGATAACTCCTAGCTGCCCCAATGCTTTTCAAATTTACATTTCAAAGAACTTTACAAAACACTGCATTATTCCTAATTACTATCTAGACATACAGAAACTAACACAGAGTCACTTGCCAAAGTCAGTTATAAAGTCAATTTTAAAGGTAGAACCAGCTCATCTCTCCCAATGCCTGTTTCAGTGACGTTCGAAGAAAGCACAATGTGAGTATTAGAGAACATATATTTGATCAGTGCCTGTTTCTGGCAAAGCTGACTTTTTCTCATGGAGTAGGAACACCTACAGAAGGTGGCTATAAAAGGTACTGTATCTCTTTATGCTGAGAGGAAGTCCTATCTTGCATGATAGCCTCCTCTGAAGCTGCCAGAACTACCAGGAGAGCCCTAGAACCACGTCATATCCCAAGTAGCAGATGCTCACACCAGGTTTGAGATCTCAGCTAACTTTTCTATTAAATAGTCTTTTTTAATACAAGTCAATATAGGACTAATAAAAGCTCAGAATCTCTATCTTTGAAAACTTCTCCTTGTAAATGCCAAAACTATGCAGGAAGAGGATACCAAGAAACATGCCATCTTAAATATATGTGCATGCACAACATAAAATCTGTCTGTAATACTGACCAGTACAAGCACTCAAACCTGGCAAATGTTTCCCTGACAAATTAAAGATAAAAACCACCCAAAATCTTGAAAAATTTTTATGTGACTCAGAAAGAATCTGATGAAGCAAACAATGTAGTTCACCACAAAGGTACAAAAGGTCTCCTCCAAAAAACTCCCATGCAGACTCAGAGGGAAAGTTTTGCCAGGGATAAAAGGCGCCTTGAACAGAGGTTACCCAAGAGTGCTGCTCACTGCAGCAGAAATGGTCTTTGTACCACGACAGGCAGTGCCCTTCCTTTTCATCAGCAATTCTTCTGCCCACCTTCACCCTATTTTTCAGATGGGTTTTCTTAGGTCTGGTTTTGCTTTTACTAGTAAAAAGTCACAACAGCAGCAGTATAAATTCCACTGCAGCATCACTTACTGGTATTACACACCACCTACATCCCTAAGAACAGACAGATATTTGTAGTGTTTTTTATGTAAGGCAACGCTGAAAGTATCCCCTTTACTTCCATACTGAAAGTGGAGCTAGTATGCCCTTTGTACAGACAATGAAAGCCACACTTGAAAATGACTTAAAACTAAGATACTAAGATTAGTAATAAACATATTTAGAAAGTACTTCAGGCACGGTCCCATGCACAATTTGAAATGGACATTGCTAAGGGGCTTATCTTATTGGGTTTTTCTAACTGTAGATGGCTTTCTAAAGGATGTACACTGTGATTTAAGTAGCTTTTTGCACCTACATAGCAGCTACTTTCACATTGGGAACTACCAGTCACATTTTAAAACTGTATTATAAGATGGGCATTATTAAAACCTTTTTACAATTTGGTCACAGAGATTAATGCTGACATTATCCAATTTTATGTAGGTATCTAGCTTTACGTTCCACAAATATCCTTAGGCATTTATATTAACAAACTGAGCATCAGTGTGCACTATTGCTCATCTACACCTCTGGAAAAGGAAAGACACGATGGCCAACACTAGGTTTCTAAGTGTCATCTTCTTGACAAGGTTCTAAGAGGAAAATTTGCGAAGGAATCGTAATAAAATTCTGGGCAACCTATAGCCATTGGCTTGCTTGAGCAACAAATCCCCATTTCTGTAACCTGCTATCTACTGCCTCAGCCTTGCTTCCTTGTATTGCCTATGCCTAGTGGTAACACTCAAGAGGTTTGACTCAGTTCCAACAAAAGCAAAACAAAAAGTAACAGGGAGCCTGCCAGAATAAAACCAGTCTCAGAAGATCTCAACCTCCTCAGGTTAATGGGAGTTTTGCCATTAGCTACAAAGAGTGTCAAACTTAACCCACGAGTTTTAAGTCAGAATTAGCCATTATCTTCTCTGGTTTTGCCCAGTGAAAACTCATTTAGTGATTATTCACACTGTTCAGTACAAAATGCCTCATGAAATCAGCACAGCCCTCTTGATTTGCTGGGAGATTTTGCCCTGACAAAAGCAGAAGAGATGAGCACTAAATGGTGGGCTAAAGAGTTAAATGAGCTGTGGACCTCTTGGTCCACAGGCTGAGAAGCCCAAAATCTCACCTGCCGATGTGATACAAAAAAGCACAATCTACAGGATTCCCAGACAAGATAGAGTATTTAAACAACACCCAATACCCCTCTTACTTAATCAAATATTAAACGGATGGAAAGACTATAGCTTGTTATACAGCTTTATTAATGTCTACTTACCAATGCCGGTGCCTCTACAATTGCCATTATTGGAATCCATAGGGAAATCTGGCATGTATATAAAGAAATGTTAGTATTTTTAATTTGGTATCATTTCAATATACCCACATTGCTATGTTTTCTTATTCTCCAGTATTTTGTATATTAAAACTTCACTTAATTAATAAACACTGTAACGGTCTACAGGCCAGCCTGTTTAAAGTTGACACGTTATGTTATCTGAACTTCACCCAAATCCAGCACATGATGTTAAATGCTTTAGCAAATTAAATATCCCATTTCTACTAGCGCACAGTCTGGCAGGTTTAGGTTGAGGATGGAAATTTATAGCATGAACTTAAGAGTGTGTACAAAAAGTACGTGTACTGTTTGAATTTAATTAGATGATGAAGGAGAAATTACTTTTGGTTTGTTTTTTGGGTTACTGAGGAAATCAAACCAACCAACCACAATCATTGAAGCAACTGCCAAGGCAAATGTTTCAGACCTTTCCCTTCCCCTCACTTTAAAAACATGCTGATTAGTTTGAAGGACAGATAAGGAACAGAAGGAAAAAAAAGGCACTATGTCCAAAGCACTGCTTTTAGACACATTCATAAGTGGAATGTGTCCCACATTACTAAAACACCCCATTTCAAACCAATTGTTTATTAAATCACACAATTTAATGGATGTATACATACACTTAATGATAAAAACCAAGTATGTTAATGCACAGAATGTTGTACAAGTTATGGGGAAAAAAATTCAAGAGAAACAAGATTTGAGAGAGCCAGTACACTTTATTAAAATGATACATAAAATAGGAAAACAAATGAGCTTGCAAGGGAAAAGCATTTCTTTAAGTTTGCATGCCCAAATGTTTCTGCAGGTTTTTGCAGTTCTGGAAGCTACCATACAAACATCATGTTTATTATATCCTTCTATGATCCCTCACGCAACACCACTGCTTTTACAGTATAGGACAAACGAATACCTGACCATGTAACAAAAGCTCCTCTCTTGCAGCTTGAGCTGTAAGGATCTGGCCATAAGACAGCCCAGGACACTGATGATACTTGGTATAGGTGAAGGTATAGGTTTAGATGTGTGAGCTACATTTTAAGGGCTGAGGCCATTATTTAATCACAAATTCTGTAAATATATAATTAAAATACCTGCTTACGAGAAATCTACTATTACTTACTTAATCTTCTAATTTGGCCATACTTCTTTTTTAAAAAAATATTAAAAACCTCCACCTTAATACATATTTATACTACTCACAGCGTCATGAAACTTCCTTTTCATAAATGACAGGGCAAGAGTAAATCTGAAAAACAACTAACATAATAATTAACTTCAGAAAAATTCAGACCTCAGGACTAATTATTCCTACCAACATAAAGAACAAAGGATATAGAAAATAGCATAGAGTAGATGCTCTTATGTCCAATATCCTGTTGCTAATAAAAAAACGCACATCAATTTTCTTCCAAAGAAAGTTCCAACTACCACAAGATCTTAGTTTATAGAACAAGCCCAACATTTTCACGGAGCCAGTTTGGTCTTTGGTTAGCAGGTACTTCCATTGCAGCTGTAAGGCTCCCCCATGCTGCCTTGTACCAAACCAAATTACACACACATATTCCTGCTTACTGCACCTAAGCTATTCTCACATTAAAAATATCCCTGTTGTTATTAGTGGTATTTAAAAATTGTGACCTCTTCCATTAGAGTAGGATTGAAAAAAAGAGGTCTTCATCGAATTTACATGTTCTTTTATGCTGCAACAGGTGCTTTCTTGTATTCCAGGACACGAAGAGAGTGGAATTTAAATGGTTTTCCTCTTGCAAATGGTAAGTAAAAGGATGACCACATTTATTCTCATTCTTCCTCTCCTGGACCAATCCTCTGTTGCCTTGTTCATTTAGACAAATTGTAGCTTTAAACCTGCAATTCCTTTTGACATAGTAAAAGCACAAAAGAGCGCTCGGGTCCATACACTGACCATCCTCCCATCTGCTCCCACTGCAGACAGAAGTCTGTAAAACCTCCAAGCCACCAACCAGCAGAAGCGGCTCTACCTCTCCATGTGCCTAAGACTGGCCTGAGATGTTTCATCACTCCCTGGGCATTCAAGACCCCTGCATAGAAAGCTCTCCACATTCACTGCTCGCCTCATTCGGTTGTCTTGGCCAGCTTCTCAGGTTGCCTTCAAGGCTGCCTGACTTTGCATGTGGTCAGGGTGACCCTTTCTGGTGCTTCATGTGGCCCAGCAAGCTACAGTTCCTACCAAACCAAATACTTCATTTATGAACAAAGGGATGGTTTGTTCACACCTTCATGGCATATTCCCAATGCAAATAAAATGGTTACTGGGGTGTCCTGGTTTCGGCTAGGATATAAGGGTGCAGAAAAAATCTTCATCAGCAGAGGAGCCACGGGAAAGTATCACATTAAACGTTTTATATCTTTACATCCACAGAGGGAACACAGAAGGATAAAGAAGCCCTTAAGTGAACTCTCCCCTCCTAAATCATGGCTGATCCAAGCAGTTATGGCTTTATGATATTCAAGCAAACCAAGTCAAGTCACTCTGGAAGTACAACTCAAAAGCAACCGGAGCTCAGTAAGGGGGTCACAGCCTTCCCTGTGATGTACACACTTGGATGTACGATGCTCATGTGTCTTGGCTGAAGAACTGTCCTTCAAACTCACACCAATGCAAGGAGGACTGGTAAACACTCAACACACCCAATATAAACCTGGTCCTGCAAACAAACACAGAACTAAACTGCTTTCCACCAGAAGCTGACTTCCACTCCTACGTACACCACTCATTATATTTGTACCAAATTACAACATGCCACAACCTCAACCCATTCCTAATTCTGCAGTAATTCGTTCATTCACCAGGTCACTCGTCCTGCCCCAAACCAGAGGCTGCAGGTATCTGATGAAGCAGCTGGCTGTGCAACAGACGCAATTCAGACATGGTGTTCAGTACAGCTTTTGATGGAAACAGCTCCCACTTCAGAGCCTGTATGTAGGCTATGGTGTACAAGATGCTGTGCTCTGCAACTGTGGCAGGGTGTCTGTCAATGACAAAAGAAGGAGTAAACAGGTACTGATACATAGTGTCATGATTCATTTCCCTGCTTATGAGGGCTTGGGTGAGTCAAGCACTGTCCTCGCCTTGATGCTTACCTTTCCTGGCACATTCATCCTTATTTAGGGAGCAGTTTCTACTCATAAAAGAGTGGGCTTGTGGAGGGGACCGGTGACCTCCACCACTGTATGACACATCTTGGGAAAGGCTTCCCATCTCCCTGATCCTTCCCCTAGTCAAGCTCATACCGGCTGGTCCCTTCTCATAGGGAACAGATGGGAAAAGGGTCTTGGGCCAGTACCGCCACCACAAAATCCCACTCCGTGACCCCAGGAGGCTAAGAGGCAGAGATCTCTCTCCACCAGGAGATGCACACTGCTCATTCTTCCAGTTGTAATGCAGATGGGGGGGGGGCCCCCCCCAAGGAGAGCTATTTTTAAAGATAAACCACTGACTTCCTATTGTTCCACTTCTCCTCAGAGGCGACCTCTGTGCCAACTCTTGTCTGTGCAAAACAATCTTTTTGAAAGAAATATCTGTCACTGATGATCAGAAGGATTGCCAAAGAGGAAGTATTATCCAGAGCTGCAATCCAAAGGCTTCCTATTAAATGCTGTTTAAGAGGAGGGGAAAAAATCCAAACTATTTTTTTCCAATAAGCCATTTTCATTAACTGCTTTTCAGAGGGATGCTATGTAAAACAAAAGAAAACCCCAATCAACCAAGCAAAAAACCCAAAGAAACCAATAACAAGGAGAGCTGAATAAAAGCCACTTGCATAGTAAGTGTACAAAGTAACAACGCCTAGGACAACAGATTTGGATAAGAGGTTTGTGAAAAGGAAACAATTACTAAAACTAAAGTTTTGAGCAAACATCTTACTTACATCAGAGCTTAAATAAGCTAAAAAAACCCACAAACAATCAAACAAAGAACAACAGCAAAAGAGCACAATCCTGATATCACTGCAGTTATTATTTAACTATATATAACATATTATTTATGTCCCAGCTATTACTGAAGACATTCCAGGCACCCCGCTCCCAAGAACAAAACCACAGTGAGTGGCTCCTTGGGGACTTTCTTCAGATGGAGAAATCTTCATGGATTAAGGAACCCTTCCAAAATGCATTAATTGAGACCTTGTAACTAACTTCAGCTCTTAAAAGCGAAGCAGAAATAGGAAAATTAATCCTGGTTACAGTTTAACATTAGACCCCTGCAACTCCAGGGCGCAGAGTAGCCTGTAACATGGCAATACAGCTGCTCCACATAATGAATTACTCCACATATCAAATCCCACTAGGTTTTGATGACATTTAATGGCCTAGGAATTGACTTGACACTTAGATTACAAAAGCCATTCGAGGGGACTCAGCCTACAAATTCAGACGAACTCTAGCGACAATGGTAGCAGCATCAATGGTTTCATCACTAGTAAGGTTTAAATTCCCTTATTTACTTTTCCTGCCTTCTTTCAGGCTTAAAGATTGCACTGACTTTGTTCTTTACCTGAGAAATGAGGCTGCTTCTAGGTTTTCAGCAAATGCCTGAACAAACATCAACTTTATAAATTACAACCTGGGCACAACTGCTCGTCCTCAGTACAGTCCCCTAGCACCACTGTGCATTTCAACTACCATGAGTAGAGCTATGCAAAAACCCTGAGCCAGAGCAAATTTGATCCAGATTTTAGAAACCACTGTTTTGAAAATGAAGTTAATAACACCTGAAAAATAAGCAAGAGAAACAGCTCTTTCACTTTTCTTTTAAACATACAATGCCGAATTCAAGTACGGGTTACTACGAACTCATCCAGGCAGACAGGCTAGTATGGAGGACTTGGACTACATGGAGAAATCACGGATTAATATGATTCTATAAGTATTTATGATTATTGGTTTATATAGGTTTATTTTACCTTAAAATAAGATTTCAGAAAAAAATGTCTCCATCACTTGAATAATATTTCATTTTCTTTAATGTTTAAGGGTGGCTTTTAGTTTTTTTTCCAAGAAATCCAGGAATTCTCCTCAGCCATCCTAGAAGAGTCACCCTAAATGGCTCAGACACTATCTATACATGGTTGGTACCTTGTGATGCTGCTTCTCCTTTCTCCAACATCTCATTAATGTGTCTCCAAGCTATTTTTCTACCCAAATAAGATATAGTGGGACAGACCCAACAGACAGATCTGTTCTCCAATATACATGGTACCGATCACATTGCTCTGGTCTTACTGATAGTTGCCTCTTCAGAACAGAAATAAACATGTTGCTTGAGTTATAAACACTCTGCTAGAGAGTAATAGCCAAGCACACGTGCTGAAGTGCTTTTCTGAACCAGCATTCCAACACCAATGATGGCTGTGGTCAGGCTGGTCATTTATTATGTGTAAAATCACAGACAGGTCCCAATGCTGAAATTTTAGATTCAAGACAGTATTTATTCTGCATTTCTTGCTGCTTTACAGACTAAAGATTTGACAGGACCCTGAACAAAGGAAGCAGATAACCTGATAGATGTAAGGAGGAGTCAGCGTACACACACAGAGGCTGAAATATATGGAGCAAGCAAAGGGGACATCCTGCAGATGAAGACAGCCTGAACCAATGTCTGCTAGCAGAACTGCTTTCATCCTCAAAAGCACGGGACAGAGACGCAGGATCAAAGCTATAGGAGACATCAGATATCAGCATGCAGCGATCTGACATTTGGGATGTTATCATATTGTCAAGAGACATTTTCAGCCTCCATCCTGGCCTATGATTTGTTGGATCCTCCACAAAAAGCCACAACAATCAGTGTCACACCTGCCTCCAGCACATTCATACCAACCTGGAGCATCCCTCTGCTGCCTGGCTGTAAAGGAACCTGGGTGTTTCCCAAAGATAATGAAAAGTCAAGCTTCCCACATTACATTTATTTGAAAGTGGTCTCTGTAACTTGAGGAACTTCAGCCCCCCAAATCCCTGTTGTAGTACACCAGCTCACACTCATTCTGGAAACCAGCACAAGCTATCCCTCAAACCAAGCCTTAAATAAGCAGCGGCTTGTTTAGACACAGCAGAGGCTACTCATCCCTTTCAACTTGTGAGCAGCCCTGAAGAACACTATAGAACATCATTCGCTCCTGCAAAGAGGAAGTCTTAGATCTTAACACCCAGGCTGCACTTGGGAAGAGGTTCCAGAGGATGTTTGAGGAGGAATCACAACCTGTGCTCCAATAGCCAAAAGGGATTCTCTTGCTGGGATTTGCCACAGTTTTTATAAACCACAGTTTCTCCACATTTTGCAACAATCTATTGGGCACAGGGAATGCACCTCACCAGAGGGGAGCTTCTCATCTTTTACTGCAACGTCAGCCAAAAAAGTCAAATGAACTTCAAACAATCTTCAACTTGGCATCACTGAAATAAGAGTCAAGACCAACTACTTTAATTTTCGTGAATGTCTGTACAACCTCTTCCTGGGCACAGAGGAGCAGATGGCAACTGATACAGCATGATAGTCACCCATTGCAGCTTCCTGCAGGCCACTCATCCTGCCCCTGCATCCAGCTGAACCATGCACCTGGAAAGATGTATGGTCTAATATTGGAAAGGGAATGGAAATTGGGCTTCCCAAAACCCTGCACCTGCTCCAACAAGGACAAACATCTGACCATGTTGTCCTTCAGGCTGCTGCCTTATGGAAGGGACTAGATAAATGCATTAACTCTTACCAGTACTAATGTACAGACCTCAAAAGGAAAGGAAACAGTAGACTCCTGTTAACTTTGCAGGTAGCTAAAAATGGAAGAAAAATTGAGATTTCACTTTTGAAGAATAAAAGGACCCTCTTCTACAACAGAAACCAATGAAACAATGGATTTGTATTTCTGCCTGCTCTATGAGATGGAGTTTACAGACAGCACAAGGAGCTCAGGAGATAAAACAAGAGCAGATATTCTGTACGCTCCCCATTAGGCAGCTGGTTATTCGTGTCTTCTACTTGGCTGCAATCCTTTATTTGAGAATTGAGTTTGAAAGTGTTCACCTTACTTCTTCCTAGAACAGGAATCCTTCACTGCTTTCTAAGCAGCAGTTTTAGTCCCTCAAGAAGGATTCTTTCAGTCTGGTGCATAATGCAACAGTTCAAAATTTTCAGCCCAGAAATGAGAATGACATCAGGTTCTCATTCACTGAAAGAGAGTTTTCATGGATCCAGCCCTGGAATCCCTCAAAGAGGATATTGTACTGCTGAGGTCCTCAGAAATAGGTAACTCGGGGGCAATTTTAGGCAAACTTCCTCCCTCCAGATTTGAATGTGATTGCTTTCAGATCGCTGAAGACCTGCCAAGCCATTTTTAAGGTGGTTTTGAAAGCACCTCAGTGTTGTGGAGAAAGGTACTCTGTGTTCAAAGCCAACCTGCCCCAAAACATCACAGCAGGTCTGCGGCCCCAAGAGAGCAGCAGCAGCAGTAAGGGAGCTGCAGGCAAAAATAGCTGGTTGGGCTCACAGGCTGGGGACAACTGTGGGGGGAAAGAAAGATGGAAAGGTGTGAGGGGAGTAGTTAGAAAGGTTAGAGAGAAACAGTAGTAACCACTGGAGATACCAGCGTGTATAGTCACCGAGATGAGATCTCAAGACTTAGAGAGGTGAACTTGATAGAGTCAGAGAAGGAACGGGGTTAGTCTGGCCTACAAATAAATGGGGAGGAGTGGAAAGCGCAGCTTACCTGGGAAGGCTGAGCTGGGGAGCACAGTCAGGAAACTGAAGCGTGAGGTTTCGTTAGGAGAGGAAAACAGGAATTACAGTGTTTCGCACTGCTGGCAGTGGGATACATAAAGCATTTGGTAATGGGACAGAAGCACAGTCAAATACTGTGCTGTGCATAACATGGTAAAAAAAACCCTTTCATTCACAGGCCACTGCTGGGGAAGGATGGAGAGATGGGATGGTGGGATCCACTGTCCAGAGTTCCCACAGCCTGGCAGCACAAGGAGCCTGCAGGGTGTGCAGGTGCTGCTCTGCCTCAGCATCCAGCCCCTCTTGGGTGCTACCTTGTGCCAGCTCTGCTCACCCACTCCTGTGACGGAGAGGTCCAGCAGACCCACCAACACTACAGCTTTGCAGCAAGGAAAAGGAGCTTGGCTCCACCAGCAGCAAATGCTTTCCTCAAGTAAGACAGGAACTGTGGTCATTTTGTAAAGGTCAAAGCTCACTCGGGATAACAGCAGATGCTCCTGCCTCCTAGCACCCATGGATGGCAGCTGGACACCTGGCATCAGCCAGACTGTGGGACCACAATGAGTGCAGCCAGTGAGGCAGACACAGTAAAAATGCCATGGGGCTCCAACAGCCCCTTGGAGGCTGCAGGGGTCAGGTACCACTAGAGCAGCCTCAGTGCTGGAGGCAGCTAAGAATGAGTAGTAGTGGAAGGCTGCATCTCAGCTGGGCTCGTCTTCAGACTGTACCTTGTGAGCCCAGGGACCTAATGGGGAACCTGTGCTGTAACTGTGCCTTCAACGCCGACCCCAAAGATGAGCTTGTTTTCTGCCCATCAGCTGTGCACCTCGGGCACTGGCACGGGACGAGGCTGAGGGGACCATGTCCTTCACTGGACACGGCTCCTTCCAACAACCTGCTGGCTGCGCCCAGGGCGTGATGGCCGGGGAGAGCAGCCCCTCTGGGGTGGTGAGTGGATGGGGATGCGCCAGGGGCTGCTATGAAGGCCAGCACACCGCGCCCGGGCAGCTCTGCCTTGGGAACGGGCACGGCTGCCGGCGGAACAGCAGCACGGGGCATCGAGACACTTCCCGTTTGCACGGAACGAGGGCTGTCACTCCCGCACTTTTAAGGGCTCCTCGCCACGACGGCAGGTCTGTCACCTGACACACACCCTCCATCCCAAGAGCAAAACTTTTCCAGCAGCGATGCGGATGGTGAAAGCGGAGAGAAAAGAGAGAAGCGTGTGTGCGTGGGCAGAACACAGGCTCGGAGAAAGCCCCAAAGAGCGGAGAGGGCAGGACCCCCCCGGGCTGGCTCCCCTCCCTCCCTCCCACTCGCCGGCGCCCATTGTCCGGGCGGGCGGGCGGGCGGGCGGGCACGGAGCGGTCCCGTGCACTCACCGGCGCCCTCGGCGGTGACAATGGCCTCAGGGGAGATGCAGACGCCGCGGTCGTACAGCGGGAGCTCGTCGCAGGCCAGGCTCTCGGGCCAGGCGTGGCGGTATCGGACGAGGACGGGCTCGCAGCCGGCGCGGGCGCGCTCGCACACGGACTTGCAGGGCTTGATGGGCTCGTGTTGGAAGTCGATGGTGCAGATGGGCGCGTACATGGCGCAGAGAAAGAAGAGGAGGTCGGGGCTGCAGTTGGTGCCCAGCAGACCCTCGAACTGCTCCATGGCCAGCACGGCATTGGCCTGCGTGCTGTGGTGCAGGTGGTTCGGCATCTTGGTCATGTTCCAGGGCAGCGGCTTGCACAGCGGGATGCGCACCGGCTCGCAGGCCGCCGCCCGCCCCGCCGGCGCCCGGCCCACCACCAGCAGCCCGGCCAGGGCCAGCACCGGCAGACCCTGCCACATGCCCCCGCCGCGCCGCGCCGCGCCCAGCGCAGCGGAGGGGCCGAGCGGCCAGACCTCGGAGCGGGGGGCGGCTCCTCCGGCCGCGGCGCCCGCGCTGGCCCCGGCGCCCCGCCCGCAGACCGGCCCCTCCGCGCCGGGCGGGACAGGCCGGGACGGGGCGGGGGTGCCGCCGGGCCCGCCTCTGCCCTCCGGCCGTGCAGGGGAGCCCTCCGCCGTCCCGCAGCCTGGCATGGAACAAAGGAGAGGTGGTCGGCGCGGGGCAGGGGCAGGAAAGGCTTTCTGTGCGGTGTGAATGGGCTAGCGGGTTTACGCTGAAACACGGGAAGGTCAGGTTAGGTGTAAGGAAGTTCTTTACTGTGAGGGTGGTGAGGCACTGGCACAGGGTGCCCAAAGAAGTAGTGAATGCTCCACCCATGGCAGCGTTCAAGGCCAGGCTGGACTGAGGGCTGGTGTGAGGCATCCCTGCCCATGGCATGGGGTTGGAACTGGATGATCTTCACTTTTTTTCCAACCCTAAACATTCGGTGGTCATATATCCCTCTAAGGCAGACATACCTTCCATCCTCTTGGAACAGCAAGCACTTGCTTCAAGAAAACGCTAAAAACGTTGCTGGAAACATAGACACAAACACAGTGACTTCAGATCAGTCTCTCAGAGGTATATTCCCATATTATTTGGAAGTGCTGCATACAGTTCTGGTGTCACCGACATAAGAAGAACATGGAGCTGTTGGAGCAAGTCCAGAGGAGGCCACGAGGATGATCAGGGGTTGGAGCAGCTCCCATACAAAGACAGGTTGAGAACACTGGGGCTGTTGAGCCTGGAGAAGAGAAGCCGCATACAGACTTCATAGCAGCCTATGGACATGAGATGGGGCAGCCATGGTTTTTTTGGGCAACCTGTGCCTGTGCCTCACCCCCATCACAGGAAGAGTTTCTTCCTTATATCTAGTCTATATCTGCAACTGCAAGTACTTTCTCAGTACAGCAAATGCTGACATCCCAAAACTCACGACCCCTAACATATGTTCCTATGAGATCTGCCTTTAAATCTTTCAGCATCAGTGTGAAGGTACCTCCTATGCATTTAGCTGGCAAATTATCATCCACCTGGTGCCAAAATTTCTCCTCTGACTGAAACTTGGCAAATGCACTCTGGGTACTGACCTGGAACACTGTTATTTTTACCAAATACCTGTACTTCAGTGTCTGCTGAGTTATCTGCTGTTACACAGAAGCACTACATTCAGCCTCAACACCTCTTTAAACTGGTGAGAAGGCTGGTAAAGAAAGAAAAGAGGCAGTGAAGAGGAGAGCCTGTGGTTCCATGCTATAAATACATGGTTGTAGTGCTTTGGAGAGGGTTACCTTAGGGAAAATGAAGCAGCTGGAGCAAAAGAGCAAAGAAAGAACCTTCTCTGTGCCTTCACATGCAGTTGCTGCAAAAACACTGGAACTGTTAACCGGAGCTAAAATACATGAGGAACATGGAGTTCATTTGATAGCTGAGCTGCGTGCTGCAGCATCTAGAATTTGGCATCAGCCTCAAAATACTGTATGGGAGAGGTCAAACCCACCACCCCTGTTTGGCAGAGGAAAAGCTTTGCTCACCACTGTCCAGGCTGTCTGCTCCTGCACCATGCAGCCCTGGGGGTGCACACTATTCAGATGACCACAGGTGGTGCGCAGGTTTGCACCCAAGTTCATATACAGGCACAAAGGTTGGGCAGGAAAGTAGCTTTTACTGTGGATGCCCCCACACTGCTGATAGGAATTGCATCCCCTTGGAACAGGCTACCCAAAGAAGTGGTAAATCCCTGGCAGTGTTCAAGGCCAGGTTGGACAGAGACTTGGGTGACATGGTGTAGTATGAGGTGCCCCTGCCCATGGCAAGGGGTTGGAACTGGGTGATCTTAAGGTCCTTTCCAGCCCAAACCATTCTGTGATTTTATGATTTAGGAGGAGAACAAAATATCTTTCTACAGCTTGCATCAGTAAGGGCAATGTTAAACTTCTGGGGGTGACAACGATCAGATCCCTAATCTGGTACACCTCCAACAGGGGTTAGTCAAATTATTGTATTAGCATCGTATAAGCTTGATGTCCTGTAAGACTCGCAAGAATGTCTTCATAAAAGCATGCCCAGGCAGCAGTTTGGGATGAGCACTTCCTGCCTGCGAGTTTCCTGGTGGGCTCTGAGGGGGTGGTACCAACCTATACATTTAAAGAATAATAATATAACCAATACTATCACACAGACTCATTTCCTAGAGGAAGCAAGTCCTTGGTAGAGCTGAGGAAGCAGGCAAGGATTTATCCCTCATATGAAAGTTACAGAAAGAGTTTATTATTGTTATTATGCCTCACAGGAATCACAGTAACCCACAGCAATGCAGACCACAGCCCGGAGCCACGCTGCCTCAGTTGCTCATCTATAACCCACTGGAAAAACAAGAACTCAGTGGCTTTGCAGCGACACAAGGATGGATTTCTGTGGGACGTGGCTGGCTAACCCTCACAGCAATGAGGATGTCCAAGCGACTTTATTTGGGTACAGAAACAGAGCAGCATGAGAAGGGCTCCAGAGAACACATAATGGGATTGAGGACTTTGTTCTTTGCACCCTTCCCCAAAAGGAGGCCGAGTAAGGAGCTGCTTCCAGACAGCTGTCATTAATTCATTCCTTCACTGTTTTTTTCCTTAAGGAGTGTCTACTCTCTCCCCACCCCACTTGTGTTTCTCTAGGGGAACTCAGGTAAACAGCAAGGGGCTTAAGAAGCTAGAGCTGGTTTTATGAGATGCTCTGATGTCCAGCTCAGCTGGCAGAACTGTGCATTACCAAAGCTTCACCACTTAAAATACAGAAATGCACGTATTTTAAATGTAAGCTGGAAGAACTACATTCTGAACAGAAATATTACCTTGTTAAAACTGAAATTCAAACCCTTCCTTGTAACAGTAAGAAACACATACAGGCTTGGCCAAGAGAAATGGGTTGTAACCAGGGCATGCACCTGTGTGTGTTTGTTGGCATAAGCTCTGTCTTCAAGTGCCTCAGTATCCCTTCAGGTATATGAAACATTCCCATATATACATTCCAGCAGCTTACTCTGTGGGGCAGGAGGTGTTCATAGGCTAGAGAAGGCACAGGGATGACAAAAGTCCAGCATCTACTCTGGCTTGGGGAACAGTTCAGCAGATCAACAAATCTGTAGTTACATTTCAAAGGGGAATGATGTTTAGTAGATACTGTGGATGTCCTAAACCCTACTGGCACCATAGCGCAGAACCTGTGATAGGCTGTAAGCTCTAGGTGACATTATTGTCAGTCACCTTTTCCCTTTCAGTTTCTTGTTCTGCCAGACCCTTCAGATCAGCAACCAGAGTTCAGAGAAGACACAAGCTCATCCTATGTTTGGTGAGCTTCCTGTCACCTTCCTGCTTTGGGCTGCACAGGGGACTGCTGTTTATAAACCAGGCACTGTGTTTTATGGTCTGCTCCTGCCCATTCCAAATGGGAAAAGAAATGCAAGCATGACCATAGCTGTTCAGACTGTTCCTAAGGAGAAAACTAGCTGAGATAAAAATACTTCTTCAGAACAGGTTTGTGCTTTCCTGAACCTTTCTATATCAACCTCAGGATTACATACAGTTTAATTTGCTTACATGCACTGCCTTGAAAAAAGAAACACAAAGCCACAAACAAAAAAAACCCCACGAAACTCACCAAAACCAACCCCTAAAATACTTTATGCACAGCTGTTACTAAAACCATAAAATCATTGACTTACAGAGTCATAAAAATGGGATTTATTGTACATTTCCTGTTCCAGCCCAGGTCTTGTTCCAGCTCCCTCAGGTAAGCAAAACACATGGGACTATTAACTTATTTAATCATCTTTCAGGCTTCTCGGTGGATGACCTGGAAGTAGTGGGGAAGAAGAAGAGGTTCTTTTAATACAGCCTTTCAGACTTGTAATTCTGGGGGTCTGTTTTGATTAGACAGCTCATTATTAACTAGCCCATGCCCTCAGGGGCTGCATACCTCCTAGAATGATACATTCATATTAATATTGCTCACATTACCTACCTCTTCAAGTCCTAGCAAAAAACAAGCCAACCTTATTCACCCAGTATTTTGCATCCTATGTAAAATTAATAGTATGGCTAGAAAAATATGTTGCTTTACCTTTAAGGACAAAGAAGTCCAAACTCACATGCATTTCAAAGACAAAATGATGCCAATAGCAATTCCATTTCATATTACCTGTTACAGGCATTCAGTCTGCCGACACAAACTCACTTGTGTTTCATTTGTACACATCTCACACGGCAGCCTCATTTTGCAGGGTGAATTTGTTTGCTGCTTGGGTTTCTCCCAGATTTTTGAGGCCATGGCAGGGTTTACAGTATCTCAATACCGAAGTTTGGTAGCTGCAATTCTGATTTTCCATCTGGATGTCGGAACCTGTATTGGTGATCCTGCAGGAAAGCACAGCCCTGTTTATTGAAAATGGTTTGTGCTTCTCAAAGCACTCAGACACAGTCTGACAGAGGACAAAAAGCTGAACCTCCTGACATGCCTTTGCAATCCTCTGAGTCCCCCCAGCTCATTTTCAGTGCAATATATTGTGCAAATCTAGCACAGGTGATGACAGTGGAAGAGAAACACCCTTGTTTCTTGTTTAGCTGATATCAGAATGTCCACAACTTTCCTCATCCCCTGGTTTAGCATGCATTAAGTGCACAATCAAGCAAAAGCCATGGATGGAACTTCCATTTTTTTCCTTTGAGAGAGCACATCTTAAAATCAGAGGAAATATTTCTATCTATAATCTATAGTTGCTAAATCCATGAGCATTGCACCAAAGTCAGAATTCATACCAGAGAGCTTTTTATTGTTTCTAATCTTTTATTCATCTGATTATCATGTTCCCTTGTAATTCTCTCTTGTTTGTAAAGGAATTGTGTATAACCTGTGATCCCATTCAGAACTATGTTTTCACATTTCAAAATGCAGAAAAGCAGAAGGACTTCTGAATAGCAT